AAGCAGGGTCCAGACCCGAAACGTCAGCTTTCCTGCTCCTCTGATGCTGCTTGGCCTGCTGTGTTCATCCAGCTCTACACCTTGTTATCTGAAATATCCTAGATAGGTGAAGCATATAGACCAGTGGATATTTATATCATTGCAGTTATTCATGTTTTTTTTCTGGCTTCCAGTGGTGAAAGTGGAGCTGGCAAAACAGTAGCAGCTAAATATATTATGGGGTACATCTCCAAAGTGTCAGGAGGAGGATCAAAGGTCCAGGTAATGACAGAAGATCTGATTTTTTTAAAATTTATTTCAGCATTTCATTGTGTCTGAGAACGATCAAGCATGAAAGACTACACCCTCGGTGTACAGCTTAAGGACTCCCTAAGGACTCGCTGAAGAAAAACATGGGGGTGGGGGAAGACAGTGACTCCCACAAGGGCCATAAATAGTATCATTGTATTCAAATCAGGCAGGCAGGAAATGAGGGGGCTCCTACTTCATTTTTATTTTTTTCAAAATGCCAGGCAGGCACCTGTTCGGAGGAAAGCCCAGGGAAATGGACAACCCCGACTGTGCATGAAGCCTTACTCAGATTGGCTGATTTGAGTGTAGAAAGGATGCCACCTGATGACACCATGCAGAAAGTGTGGACCTGCTTTTGCAGTTGCATGAAGAAGAGGATCAGAGTTGGAGGTTTCTATTATTCTACGGTTGTTGCAACAGCTGCAACATCTCCTCCCGTGTCTCCAGATCCCAGACATTTATTAGTGAACTGAACTCAAAAATACTTTCAGATCCACACTCTGTATGTCTGGCCCAGGTGAGATTTAGCCTGGCAGTGTGTATGGACATGTATATCCAGCTGATCTGAGGAAGGATATGCAGCTAAACCCTGATTGTAAAGGATTTGTGGACCTACTCTACACTCATTTCATACAGGCTTGTTTTCTCACTTAGGATAAGGGTTAACAACAGCTTTCTCTGGTATCCCTGCCAGTGACACCCTGCAGGGAAGCCTTGAAGGTATTGAGAAGAACTAGGAATGTCCCCTTCTCTATTTATTTCACCTGGTTGCAGCCAGTACTCCATGTCCTCACTCCTCAGGAGAAACCCCCCAAAATTTAAAGAATGTGGAAATGTAGAATTGCTAGCCTGTATGTTTATTATCCAGGAACTGAACACTTTTCAGGTACATAGGAAGCAACACTTGTGCCAGATGTATGCTGTGTGTTTGTAATGGAGGCAAAGCAATGTACATCATTTTTTAAATTTATCTACATTATTCTAGCATGTAAAAGATATCATCCTACAGTCGAACCCTTTGCTTGAGGCCTTTGGAAATGCCAAAACTGTACGAAACAACAATTCCAGTCGATTTGTAAGTCACTGTTGTGGATTTTTCAAATATCTTAGTATTTAAGAATCACTGAGCCATGTGACTCACAGTGACCCCAGTGGGAATGAATTTTCACATGAAGCCATCCATATAGATTGTTACACAAATTCTTTCTCCAGACTTTTCTATAATGTTCTGCCAATGATATAGCAAAAAACTGGAAGAAATTCTGTGATAGTTCGGTGCCCCATTCACGTAAGTAATTCATTTGCCACAAAACATTCATCACCTATTCTGAATTCAAAGAATTTGTCTGCTTGACCACTGGGTATTCTGTATCTTACTATTAGCTCAACATATTTACACTGGTTTACGGAATAGGGGCATGCACTGTTTTGTTTTAATTAATAATAATACTCACTTTGTTATATTATACACTATGGGAGGCATTTTCATGGTGTCCTTGCAACATAGAGGTTGGTGATTGCCATATGCACATTCAACTCCCCCTCATTCCATAACAATTAAACCTTCTCTGAAAATACTGCACAGATTGTTGAATGTGCGTGTGTGCGTGTGAGAGAGAGAGAAAGAGATGTATGCATCGCTGTTCTGTACTGACATGTATTATTTCTGCCAAAGGGAAAGTATGTCGAAATTCAGTTTAGTCGTGGTGGAGAGCCAGATGGAGGTAAAATCTCAAACTTTTTGTTGGAGAAATCCCGCGTCGTTAGCCAGAATGAGAATGAGAGGAACTTCCACATATATTACCAGGTAATGCACCACTTCCTTACAATCTGACCTTAGTAAGTGGAGAGTGTAATATCTCTGTGGGTAAATGTATCCAAGACGAAATGCTTACTTTGAGATCAGTGGGTGCACAGCAGTAAGGAAAAACAGAAATCCTGTTGGAAAATTAAGATGAGTTTAGAAGTTAAACAAATTTAAACAGAAAGCAGCCATCAGCCAAAAACTTGGAAAATTTATTGCCTAGAAAAAGTGGTATTTTTCCACTTTGCTATGACCCCTGAACCAAATCTACATAATTAAAGTCCTTCAGAAGGAACTATGTGCCTGCACCCCAAGGTCTTTTTGTTCGGCAATACTCCACAGGGCCATACCATTAACTGCTTAAGTCCTACCCTGGTTACCAAACAAACATACTAAAATGCAACACCTCACATTTATCTAAATTAAACTACATCTGCCACTCCTTGGCTCATTGGCCCATCTGATCAAGGTCCCGTTGTACTCTGAGATAAGCTTCTTCACTGTCTGCTACAACACCAATTTTGGTGCCACCTGCAAGCTTACTAAACATACCTCCTGTATTCACATCCAAATCATTTGTATAAATGATGAAAAGCAACGGACCCAGCACTGATCCTTGCAGCACACCACTGGTCACAGGCCACCAGCCCAAAAAACAACCCTCTACCACCACCCTCTGTCTCCTACCTTCGAGCCAATTTTGTATCCAGTTGGCTAGTTCTCCCTGCATTCCATGTGATCTAAATTTGCTAGCCAGTCTACTATGTGGAACCTTGTCGAACGCCTTGCTGAAGTCCATATAGACAACGTCTACCACTCTGCTTTCATCAATTTTCTTTGCCACCTCTTCAAATAACTCAATCAAGTTAGTGAGATACAATTTCCGACACAGAAAGCCATGTTGACTGTCCCTAATCAGTCCTTGCCTTTCCAAATGCATGTAAATCCTGTCCCTCAGAATCTCCTCCAACTACCTACACTACACTGACATCAAGCTCACTGGTCTATAGTTTCCTGGTTTTTCCTTCCCACCTTTCTTCAATAATGGCACCACATTAGCCAACCTCGAGTCTTCAGGTACCTGACCCATGGCTTTCATTGATACAAATATCTCAGCAAGGGACCCAGAAATCTCTTCCCTAGCTCCCCACAATGTTCTGGGATACACCTGATCGGGTCCCAGTGATTAATCCACCTTTATGTGGTTAAGACTTTTTGCACCACCTCACCTGTATTATGGACACTTTTCAGAATATCACTTTTATTTCCCCAAGTTCCCTAGCTTCCATGTCGGTTATCAATTTAAAAGTATCACTGAGATTGTGAGGGGTGATGTTTGGAAAAGCATCTTTATTCAGAATGTTTGAGCTCAGAATGCATGAAGTGATGACTATGGCATTTAAGGGAAATTGAATATATATTGGAAGCAAACAGAGGTACAGGCCCAGGGGGAGGACAGAGTAGGTTTCCAGTTATTCCAGGAAAGAGTCTACATAGGCATGTTGCAAGCCAAATGGTTCTTTATGTGAAAAATCATGGATCTGTGATGCTTTAAGGATGACAGTGATGATTTTTTTTAAAAAACACTCCAAATTAGAATATTATGCTAACATTATGTCAGCATGAGTTCTGTTATAATACAATATTCCAAGTAAGATTGGAAGCTAAATTCAAACAAATGTTGAAATCAAAAATATAGGCTCAAAAACAAATTGACTTTTTCTTCAAAACAGCTGCTCGAAGGGGCTTCAGCAGAGCAGGTTGAAAATCTAGGCATCGCTGATCCTACGTATTACTTCTACTTAAACCAGTCAGGCACCTACAAGGTGGATGGGACAGATGACAAAAAAGAATTCAATGAAACAATGGTAAGTGAGGCAGCTTTTTTTTTGTTTTTATGTGAGTACCATTGTTAGGCTGCCATGCAAAAAGACTTGAGTGATTCTGCCAACTGATATTCTTTGTCTGCTGGCCACAAGGGATGAATTCGCATGCCCTGTCCTCATTGCCCATGCCCAGAGCATCATGTACTAATTGTCATCCATTGGGACTGGTGATCACTATTTTGCTTTACCAATATGACACATTTTAATCCATAAACAGAAAGCAAAAACCGCTGCAAATGCATGTTAGTCAACATCTGTGATGAAAACAAAGAAGTCAGCATTTCAGATTTTGACTTTCTCCACTTGTGACATTTTAATTTATTTACTTAGTCTACAAATGCTGACCCACTGTCGTCTGTTTCCCTCAACTGTTTGGTGTTGAACAGACAGTTCATGTTTCTGCTACCTGCATTTTTTTTAACCATTGTAATTTAGACAAATGTGAATTAATATAGGAAACGAGGAGGCCATTCAGCCCCTTGAAATTATTCAATCACTCAGGTTTGATTATGATAGATCTGTATCTTAAGCTCCATAACTCTGAATCTTCTTCCCTCACAGAAAACCATCAAGCTCAGTTTTGAAACTTTCAGTTTGTGTGTAGATATGCTTTCTGAATCACTTCTGAATTGCATAGCTCTAATTTTAACGTTCTGCCCCATTATTCTGGAGTCTCCCAGCAGAGGAGATAGTCGCTCTCCACCTATCTTATCAATTATTTAATCATCTTAATTGCTTCATGAGTGTATTCATTAAACTTCTACATAAAGGGAACACAAACCTAATCAATGCATGTTGGCCTCATAATTTTCTCCCCATACTATTCTGGTCAATCAATGCTGCAGTATGACATATCATGGCAGCAAATATCCTGGTACCAGTAGGCACAAACAGGACAGAACAAAGTGTAGCAGCCTTCTCAAAGCCAGTATATCAGTCCATAAGTGTGGTGCCTGAAAGTGAATTTAGTATTGCAGAAGGGGCCAAACTAATGCTCTATACAGCTATAGCATAACTTCTACCCATTGGTATTCCAGCTCTCTTTAGGAAAAGGCTAACATTCCATTCACCATATTTATTGTGCCGATCCAGTAATTTTTAGTTAATTACTGTATTTGGACCCCAAAATCTCTTCATTCATCCACAACTCCTACCTTCTCGTGATCTAAAATTTATTCTGATCTTAGGTCTTAAGTGAAAGACCTCAAACTTTCCATTTGAACTCCATCTGTCACAGTTGTGTCCAATCACTTAATCTATCAATGTTCCACTTCACCTTCTTGCTCCAATCTACGCCATTTGCCATGGCCCCTTAAAAAGGTGTCGTCGGTAAAATTAGATGTATGGCTCTGTCTTCCTTCTCACAAACCCTTTATAAAAAACATGAAAGGCTGTGGCCCAAATACGGATCCCTGGAGGAACAACATCAGTTGCATCCTGCCTGTTGAGTATGTGTCTATTAAATTTCTGTCTATCTCTTATCTTCTAAACACTACTTGATACCAGCCAATAGATTGATGCTGCAATTTTTGTCTCTCATGTGGAACCTTGTCAATTGTCTTCTGTAAGTCCATTTAAATAATAGACATAGACATTCCCTAAACTATCCACCTGTTGGTCATGAAAGTAGGAAGTCAGATTCTTATTAAAATGGCAGTAAATTGAGAGAGGGGAATATTCAATGATATCTGGGTGTCCTTGTGTACCAATTTCTGAAAGTAAGCACACAGGCATAACAGGCTATAAGGAAGACGAACTGTACGATTGTCTTCATAGCAAGAGGATTCGAGTACTTTTTGAACAAGGATGTCTTTCTGCAGTTGTACAGGGCAACTGGGGAGGCCACACATGGAATATTCTGTGCAGTTTTGTTCTCCTTATCCAAAAAAGGATGTTCTTGCTATAGAGGAAGCACAGCAAAGATTTACCAAATTGATTCCTGGGATGTCAGGACTGACGTATGAGGAGAGACTGAATCAGTTAAGATTGTGTTCACTGGAGTTTAGAAGAATGAGGGGAGATCACATAAAAATCCATGAAATTCTAACAGGACTAAACAGGTTAGATGCAGGAAGGATGTTCCTGATGGTAGCAGATCCAGAACCAAGGATCATAGTTTAAAGATAAGGGATGAATCTTTTAGGATTGAGATGAGAAGAAATTTCTTCACCCAGAGAATGATGAGCCTGTGAACTCACAGCCACAGAAGGTGGTTGAGGCCAAAATATTATTTGTTTGCAAGAAGGATGTAGATATAGCTCTTGTGGATAAAGAGACCCAGGGATATGAAGGGAGGATGGGATTAGGGTATTGAGCTTGATGATCGTCTATGAGCATAGTGAATGGTGGAGCAGGCTTGAGGGGTCGAATGGCCTACTCCTGCCCTTATCTTCTATGTTGCTATCATTAAAAATAAAGAACCGCAGATTCTAAAAATCTGGAACAAATGTACAAAGTGCTAGAAAATCTCAAAAGGCCTGGCAGCAACTGTAGAGATAAACAGAGTTCAGGTTTTAGGACCGATGAACTCTTATCCAGTCTGTTACCTCTTCAAAACATCCAGCTGGGTACATTTGACATGGCTTACCCCTTACAAAATTATACTGACCACTCTCTCATTAGTTTATACTTGTCCAAATTCTGAGCCACACTGTCCTTGGTTTCGTCTACCTTTAATCTTAGCTCCACAGGATGACATTCAGAAAATCAGGAGTGCCATGATTTTGGAATACTAACCTTTATGCTTAGTTTTCCATTCTTTCAGCCAGACATTACAGTGGCCATGGGGGATATCACAGAATTCCAGCGTTCTGTTGGATTTGGAATATTGGCTCATTTGTGCTAATCTTAAATGCTGTTTCTGTTGTTTTCTTGCCACTGACAGTTTAATGCTTTTGAAAATCTATTCAACTGTGCCAGCCCTTCCCTGTCAGAAATGTTCCAGGACAGGATCCTATCTAAAATAACCTTACCTCCCTTTCCTAAAGGGAAAAGTGTTCCAGAAAACTATATCCTCAACAATACTCCAATTAATATCTTGTGTCCATTGTCTACCTAATGTGTAGGTTAAGGTCTTATTCATCTACCTTAATTGAGTCATTGGATCACATGTTCTCCTACTCGTTCGTATTTGCAGATGACACTAAAGTCGGAGGTGTAGTGGACATGGAGGAAGGTTATCTCAGGGTACAATGGGACCTTGATCAGATGGGCCGATGGGTCAAGGAGTGGCGATTGGAGTTTAATTTAGATGAATGTGACGTGTTGCATTTTGAAAAGGCAAATCAGGGCCAGATTTATACATTTAATAGTAGAGTCCTGGGGGGTGTTACCAAACAAAGAGACATTGGGGTGCAGGCTCATAGTTCCTTGAAGCTGGAGACCCAGGTAGACAGGGTAGTGAAGAAGGCATTAGGTACGCTTGCCTTTATTGGTCAGTGCATTAAGTATAGGAGTTGGGAAGTCATGTTGCAGCTGTACCTGACATTGGTTAGGCTGCTTTTGGAATACTGCATTCAATTCTGGTCTCCCCGGTATAGGAAAGATTCACAACGATGTTGCCAGGGTTGGAGTGTTTGAACTATAGGGAGAGGCTGAATAGGCTGGGGCTTTTTTCCCTGGAGTGTCAGAGGCTAAGGGGTGACCTTATAGAGGTTTATAAAATCATGCAGGGCAGGGATAGGGTGAATAATCAAGGTCTTTTTTCCCAGGGTAGGGGATTCCAAAACTAAAGGGCATAGGTGAGGGTGAAAAAATTTAAAAGGGACGTAAGGGGAAAACTTATCCCACAGAGGGTGGTGCATGTATGGAACGAGTTGCTAGAGAAAGTGATGGAGGCTGGTACAATTACAACACTTAAAAGGCCATCTGGATAGGTACATGAGCAGGAAGGGTTTAGAGGCATATGGGCCAAATGCTGACAAGTGGGACTAGATTAATTTAGGAAATCTGGTTGTCATGGACAAGTTGGACCAAAGGTTCTGTTTCCATGCTGTACAACACTAAGGTACCAAGAAAATCCATTATAGGAAGCCAAAATGTAGAGAGAGCAAAGCCACAATTTTAAAGCTTGCAGGCCATTCCATTTTGTTTTGGAAATTGTGACAGGGCCCAATCTCACACACTCTTAAGGAGATGTCAGATTCACAGTTCAAATCCCTGCTGGAAATTTGAATTTCTTACCCGTGGTATTCCTTGTGTGGATCTTGCAACTGCTCCTGAGTTTGGAGGCTTATCTTGTGATTTTCCTCTGGTTTTCCTGAGCAGAAGCAGAATTTTTTTTCATTTAAGTTTACTTTTGAAACTCTTATAGTCCAAAAAAGAACAAAAAATGTGCGAAGGAATAAAAAGTGAGGAAGAAGAGATTGGATGACACAGAGGTTTATAGGAGAGGCCTGTCCACATGTTTGTCAAGATGTCCACAGCTCCAGAGAGAGATTATTTTTTGTTTTTTCCATGGAACTCAGATGACAGCAACTTGTTTGTCGAGGTTTCGATAGTAGTGGTTTAAATAACATTGGGGATCAGGGATCGACATTCCTTTAATCAGATTCGGAGATTTGAGAGCTGACTGATAGAGGATTTGAGGAGGAGATTGTCTTTGTTTGCTGGGAGTTTCAGCTAAATGCTGGATTTTTAAGAAGTTAATTTTTTTTCTCTCTCTTGCATGCTTAAAATTAACATCTGTGGCAAGGGAGGTTTGTTTTTTTTATTTAAAAAAGGGTTCTATTTTAGAGCTTCTTCTTTTAGGCCTTATAACAAAGAATAAAGTTTTTTTTAAGCTCTCCCAGCATAGTGTGCCAGAAATCAGTCCACAAACACTATATTTGAGCAAAGTGTGGATCTTTTTCGGCAAATCTAAGTGAGCAATTTTTAACAGGCAGTTATGGCAGTCAATGGAGCAGTATGCACCTCCTGTCAGATGTGAAAGATTAGGCAACAGTTGACTGTCTCTCAAGACCACGTCTGCAAGATGTGTTTTTGGATCCGTCTAATATCAGGCCATTTGGATCAGCTAGAGAAGCAGTTACAGTCACTGAGGAGCATACAGGAGACACAGAGAGTGATGATTAGTAGATTTAGAGAGGTGGTTACACTACAGGTTCAGTCAAATACTTGGGTGACTCTCAGGAGAGGTAGCAAAGTAGGAGTGTCCTGTGGCTATTCCTCTCTCAAACAGATATATGTTTTGGGTACTGTTAAGAAGGATAGTCTCTCACAGGAAAATACAAGTGGCAGCCAGGTCTTCAGCGCCAAGATTGAATCTTATGTTAAGCGGGGTATGTCAAGATTCAAATAAGCAATTGTTATAGGAGCCTCTCCTGTCAGGGACACAGACAGGAGATTCTGCAGCAGCGAGTGTGAATTCAGGATGGTATTTTGCCTCCCCTGGAGCTAGGGCGAAGGACGATTCAAAACGGTTGCAGCATATTGTCCAAGGGGAGAGTGAGAAGCCAGAAATTGTTGTACACGTTGATAAGAATGACATATTTAGGGAAAGTGTTGAGGCTTTGCAGAGTGAATATAGGAAGCTAGGTAGAAGGTTAAAAAGCAGAACCTCAAAGGTGTTAATCACTGATTTACATATGCTAGCCAGAGTAGGAAGAAGAAGATAGGGCAGATAAATCAATGGCTGAGGAGATGGTGCAGTGGGCAAGGATTTAGATTTTTGGATCATTGGGATGTCTTCTGGGGCAGAAAAGACCTGTTCAAAAAGGATGGGTTTCACCTGAACATTGGGATCTCTTCTGGGGCAGAAAAGACCTGTTCAAAAAGGATGGGTTTCACCTGAACATTGGGATCTCTTCTGGTGCAGAAAAGACCTGTTCAAAAAGGATGGGTTTCACCTGAACTGGAAGGGGACCAATATCCTGGCGGAGACAGCTGCTAGTGCTATTCGGGTGCCTTTAAACTAGTAGGGAGAGAGGGTGGGGGGATCCTAAGCAGTAGTGAGAATAGTAAGATAGATGAGGATGGCTCTGAATTAAAAAGGAGCAAGTTATTAGAAAAGGCAGGCAAGATGAAATCAGTGAACGAGGTAACACTGAACAATTACACTGCATTTATTTCAATACAAGGGTCTTACAGGTAAGATTTAGGAACTCAGGACATGTATGGGAACATGGAGCTGGGATATCATAGCTATTGCAGAAATATGGCTGAGGGAGGGACTGCATGGCAGCTCAATGTTCTGGGGTTTAGATGCCATAGGAAAGATAGAAAGGGAGGCAAGAGAGGAAGGGTCTATCATTTTTGATCAAGGGAAACATTACTGCCGTACTTAGAGAGGATATTTCTGAGGGATCATCCAGTGAAGCTATATGGTTGGAACTCGGAAATAAGACTGGGATGATCACCTTGACGGGATTGTACTATAGGCGCCCAATAATCAGAGGGAAATTGAGGAACAAATATATGGAGAGATCTCAGATATATGTAAGAATAATAGTGTTGTAATAGTAGGGAATTTTAACTTTCCAAAAATAGACTGCCATAGTATGAAGGGCTTGGATGGTGAGGAATATGTTAAATGTGTTCAAGAAAATGTTCTCTACCAATATGTAGATGCACCTACTAGAGAAGGAGCAAAATTTGACCTTCTGTTGGGAAATAAATCAGGGCCAGTGATTGAAGTGTAAGCGGGGGAGCACTTTGGGACCAGTGATTATGATTCTATTGGCTTTTAAATAGTTATGGAAAAGGATAGGCCTTGTATAAAAGTTAAATATCTCAATCAGAGTAAGGCAAATTTTGATGGTATGAGACAGAAACTTTCAAGAGTTGATTGGAGTGGACTGTTCACAGGTAAAGGAACGACGGCAAGCGGGATGCTTTCAAAAGTGAGATAACAAGAGTTCAGAGGCATTACATTCCTGTTAGAGTGCAGGGGAAGGCTGGTAATAGTAAGGAACAATGGATGAATAAAGAAGTTGAGGCTCTGGTAAGAATAAGAAGGAGTCATATATTATCTATAGACAATTGGGAATAAGTGAATCTCTTGAAGAATATAAGGGGTGTAGGGGCATTCTTAAGAGGGAAATCAGGAGGGCAAAGAAGGGATTTGAGATAGCCTTGGCAGAGAGGTTAAGCATAATCCAAAGAGATTCTCCAAGTACATTAAGAGCTGAAGAGCAACTTGAGAGAGAATAGAGATAACAAGGTGTAGAGCTG